AAAGAATTATATATTAAACCTCATAAACAAGGAGCAGGTTTATATCTTAACCCCTCAAAAAACTAATTAAACGGCTACCCGGACGGGCGCTCACTAATCTCGACATATTAGAACATGCAAGTGATATTCCATACTTTCGCGGCGTTTTCATGAGAAATAATTTACCTTTGAAACCGAGAAAGATAGAATGTGGAATACTGAATTTGGATAGCTACAGAAATCCTAGTACGCATTGGGTAGCCTTTGTAAAGCACAATAAATACGTAGAATATTATGATAGTTTTGGTAGTTTAAAGCCCCCGTTAGAATTAATTAAATAAATGTATAACTTACCTATTAACTATAATTATGCGCGACATCAAGCGTTTGGTGCTACAAACTGTGGACATTTTTGTCTAAAATTTTTAAGGAATTACTAGAAAAAGCATTTATATAGTGTATGAAATAAATAAACGTATCAGTATAAAAATGTCTTTCACTGTGTCTATAACTGGGACAGGAGCCTCTTTATCAACGAACTATTCACCGACAATAGAACTACGAGGAGACTACGAATGTGGTATTTTGTATTTTTCAACTTTCAATTCTATTCCCAATATAGATGAAAGAAACAATTAATTTTATTATAGTGAAAAAGAAATGATCGAAATTCCTGAAGGGTCTTACGAGCTTCTAGATATTTGTGATTATCTAAAAAATAATATTAAGAACGCTGTACTAAAACTAACTTGTAACAATAATACATTGAAAACAAATATTTTTTGCTCTGAAGATGTGCACTTTAATAGAAGCGAATCACTTGGTAAAATTTTAGACTTTGGTATGGAAACAAGAAAAGCAAATATAAATACTGAATCAAAGTATCCCGTCAGTATTCTATCGACAACCATTGTGAAGATTGAATGCGATGTAGTTATCATTTGTCAACGGGAAAGCAAGCCATATAATTTTTGAATTTGCACCTAATGTACCACCTGGTTATCGAATAATTGAAATACCCAGAAACTTGATTTATTTTCCTGTTAACCAAAATTCCATAAGTGCTATCAATATAAAGTTATTGAACGCTGAGAATAAAGATATAAATTTACGAGGTGAAGAAGTACAACTGTATTTATATTTCCGAAAAAAAAATGAAAAATTTCAATAAAAGCCCGTCTACTTCGTGTATCGAAGCCAGTTTTAAAAGAAGATCTCATAAACGCACACCTCTTCAGCTAAAAAAAACTTACCAAGTCTAACAAAGAATTTCTTAAGCTAGTTGGCTTGATAAAATGAATATTTTAAACGTATCTCAACAAACATCATACGATAACAGCATTGAAAGTTTTGAGTATCATTCATACAAACCATATGTAACTAGTTTTAACAAGAATGACGAAATACGTATTCCTATTAATCAACAAGACCTGTACCTACTACCTTCACTCAGTAGTTTATATATATCGAGGGAAAGGTGAACGTTTATAACAGCACCACAAAATAAAAGGTATCAAACGTACATTTTGTCAATAATCCCGTGCTATTTCTTTTTCAAGACATACGATATGAACCTAATGGAGTAGAAATAGATAAAATTAAGAATGCTGGTGTCACTACTACAATAAAATCTAATCTATCCTCCTAAACTAATGAAAATGAATCCAAATGTGCTCGAGTTTGGGGCTGGTCAACTGGCGGAATGATGAACACTAACAACTTTAGACATTTTATTAAAATTAGTTTACTGTGTTTCTCTGTAAAAGAAATAATAGCATTCATTAATGTTTCCCGTTCCCGTTCACCGCCCCGTTTTCAATTGGTCTAACAACACTAAAAATTCAGATTACAGGCGTTAAAATGAAATAATACCTTTCGGCATAAAAACGACGACTTAGATTTTCCACCCGCCTTACATAAGAATCGAAATATTGGCTAGTGGTAGTGATTTTAATTAATTTCATTTATTATTTATATTTTAAAAATTGTATTTGCCAACCTACATTAAAACATTTTGACTCACTCACAGACATTCAATATATGTCTGTGGAATCGCTTGGTTATTTCGTATAAATACCCTTATTCTGCCCTTTTTCATCACTTACGTAATACATAGTATGATATATTAGCTTAATATTCATAAAAATTATCATGTTATTAATTATTATATACATTTTGATTTTAACTTATTCAAATTTTATCTCTATTTTATATTTTTTTGTGGGTGTGTGTGTTGCCACTTTAGAGATTTTGTCGCTAAATCTGGCAAATTGTAAGCCTTTTGGTGACGTATTTGTATCATAGTGCTGACAGTGATATTTGACCAAATCATATATCAGATCTAGTTTTATAATTAAAATAATCAGACTATATTTTACGGAAATCCATTATACAGGGTTATTTTGCAATATACGTCCAAAATTTGCAGAAAAGGTTCATAATAAATAATATAGGCGAATGGTGACTAAAAGTTCCTAAAATATTATCAAACATTCTATCCTTTTTTCTCTTAAGTTCAGGCAGTTCCACAGATATCTAATGCCTACTATTTTACTATGCAAGTACACATTTGTAAAGATAGCTCGGTTGGCAAAAACGTGAATTGAATCGCAATCAGAGGAGCGCGCGTACGCGTACTTGTTGCCCATAAATCACATTCAATTTGGAATAATTTCAAAAACTGCATTAACGGTATATCATCATTTATATGTTTGAACTTAAGGCCTATTAATATTATAGATAAATTGTTAGTTTAAAAAAATATTATACATAAATAATTAGAAACTAATATTGAAAATTTATAAAAAGGCGTTGTGGAATGGCTAATAATATTTCGTTCATCAATGTCGTTAGTAGGGACTAAGGTAAAGTTGTTTGTTACAATATTTCATGTAATGAGGGCTAATAATCTTCCACTCACCAGATATCGCTGCGACTTGCGACTGAGGTAAAGTTTTTTGTTACACAATGTCAGTTAATTGAGAAATTAGTTTTATGAAAATAGTTTATCATTATCTAGAATATTATATTAATACACAACACAATTCGTCAGTGGTTTGCTTTTTAATTTTTTGCACTTTATAACTCTTTTTTTTTAAATTGGCTTTTAGTTATATTTTATAGTTTGGTTTATTCATTTCTAATGTAATTAATATAAAATATAACTAACAATACAGAAAGAATCCTTAAATATTACATTTTCCTAAGAAATTGACATCCCCGCTATGAAATCTGTCAAATATTTTACCTCACTGTAAAGTGGCGCCGCCCAAGATGTGTTTGAAATAAAATTTTATCGTTTTCTAGAGTATTATATAAATACACAAAATAATGCCTCAGTGGTTTTTTTAAATGATTTGTTACATGTTTTAACTTTTTTTCCTGCTTTTAGGATTTTCTGTAATTTTTTATTCATTTCTATTCTAATCAATATAATTTGTAACTAACAATACAAAAAGAAACATGAACCATTACATTTTCATAACAAAGGTTCTAGTTAGAATTTTCCTAACTCCGCTCCTAAGTGGCGACGCCCTGGTGGCAAAAAAGTCGTAGATTAAATGCTAATTAAAACCTATAAACCTATTAAATCTATATAAAATTGTACTTTAGGTTTTTTATCGATCAATTAATTACACCACAACGATTTCGTATGCAATTGTTATTTTTATTTATTAATGGATATTAAACAACATAAAGTAAATTTAAATTAATTTGTTATTTTACGATTTACACAAAATTTTATTTGACAAATTTTTAGTTTGTCATGTGGCAGCACTGCGGTGTTGCCAACTTAGTGAATTTCCCACCAAAACTGATGGTTTTGACCCTAGTTCTAGTAGAAAAATATTGCTTTTAGTGACTATTGGTTTTTTCTAGTGGTTCAGTAGATTTCAGTTTCAATAATTGGAAAGATGATCATTCAACCATTAGGCCACTTATAGGTTTCGAAATATGTTACTACTTCATATCAGGAGTTTTTTTTGTGTAGACAATACTGATTCGTCAGACATGACGTGACATCAGATGATCCTTTCTGGTGGCTAACAACAGTCCCTCTCTAAACTCAGTGTCGTACCCTTTTCTCGAGTTCATATGTCACTATGCCGAAACCACAGTATATGCAAAAGTTGCGGGATTCTTGGCTTCAAGAGCCACATTTAAAGGAATGGCTCCAAGTGACTGAAAGTAGTTCAGGCCAAGTATCGAAATGTAATTTTCGTAGTACAATTGTAAGGATAATGATGGAAACCGATGATGATGGTGCCGACAAAAATGATTCATCTGAAGACGATTTAATTAAATTAAAATAGCACTTGATGAAATAATATTTTTTTCTTTTTTTAAATAACGTTACCTCACTTCACCTGACGTCACGTAACCACACTAGGATTTTCTATGGTAACGTAGGGATAGCTTACCGTTTCGGTTACAGCTTATTAAAGTCCACTGCTGAACATAAGCCTTCCTCGCAGATTGCCTCATAGGGGGATACTTGCCTTAGTTGCCACGCTTGGCAAGCTGGTTAACAACCGCAGTTTCTTATATTTAGTCGTTGTTAGAAAGACGCTGCTGCCCATTTGATTCGTTTCTCTCCATCGCCTCTTACGAAACCCTCAGGATGATATGGGGTAGTGGATATACTTACACCGTGACCGTGTACAGTATCGTTGGGGCAGCTTACTTATATATATATATCACATGGACAAACATCCAGACCAGGAACAATTATTTGTAGTCCATACAAATACTTGAACCCGCAGCCATCAGCGCTGTAATTGAACTTGTTGATTTTATAATTGTATGTTGATTGATTGGTTATTTACATAGAAATTTAATATTTTGTTACACAGTATGTAATAATAAAGGTATTCAATTACTAATATACCTATTGTTTTTTTGTTTCATAATAAATCTATGGAGGGCTAATTTAACTGTTGGCAACACTGTAGATCTGAAATACGCGCATGCGCGCAAGTTCCAAGAGCCCGTCAATGATCAATGTTTAAAAATAATTGTACTCTTCGGTCGATGGTCAGGCTTTCAGGTTAGGTTAGGCCGGTGAATAGTGTTTCTATATTATAGTTTGTGGGCCGGTGAGCCGGCCAAGTTGAGAGTTGAAACTGGTTGAAACAGTTGTACTTGTGGTGTCCTGTGATACTCGTACTCGTATATATAAAGGTACTCTGTGTCGTACTCCCTGACGTACGACGAGAGCACAGAGTACATTGTATATAGGGAAGACGAGAGGATCAATGTCAATTCAATAATTTCAATTTAAATTTTACAATCACGGTCATGAGAAGCGTTCGCGTATAAAACGAATACTCTTTGCTATTGGAGGGAATCGTTAAAATCAATTCGCAACAAGGAGTAATAATTTAGTACTACACTAACTTCTTATGCAAGCAGGTGTGTAGCCTGTGAATTTTTTTATGAGAGTATTAAAAGAAATATTCTTTTAATTATAACCTTAAATTTATATTTTCGTATAATGGTGAATGATGATTAATGTAAGAAATTGAATTATTACAGTTAATTTTTTGCGGATGTTGAAGACCGGCAATATGCTACGATCAACACATAGCCTTTTTTTAATTAAAAAATTAAGGCTTTCCTCAGTCCGTGAGTTTTAATTTTTTTTAATTTTAAATTAGCAAATATAAAATAAATATTTTATTAAGTCACAGTAATACCTTCATATATAAAATTTATAAAATTGTTAAATACGTACTTAATAAACATATTTTATATTAATATTTTCTCATTAGATAAATTAATAATATGTATTATATTTGGTCATGGTCATTATAGATGGTCATAATATTTTTTATAAATATGTTTAAATCTTAAAAAATTAATAACTAACGAAAATGTATTTTTATTACATTGCGGCCATGCGGATTTTGCGTAAAGTTATTTAAGTAAAAGCCTAATATAGGGTACATTTTGCAATCTTTTAAATATTTTTCTACCGACTTCAAAAAGGAAACGGTACTCAATTCGACTGTATGTTTTTTTATGTGTGTTACCTCATAACTTATTAATGGGTGAACCGATTTCGATGATTCTTTTTTATTTGAAAGCTGGTGCTTCACATGTGATCCCATATAAATTTGATCAAGGTCTGACTAATAGTTTTTGAGTTATTCTTAATAATTTACATTAAAGTCGGTTGTACAAAATTTTTAATTATTCTGTACGTGATGCGTGTGTTTGTTATTGAATTCCTAAACGGCTGGACCGATTTTGATGAAATTTTTTGTGTGTTTGAGTCACAGAACACTATTACTCCAACGGAGGTTTGAGTGGGTCCTTGAGTGGTTTTGACAATTACCTGGGATTATTAGGACCCGATAGGTGGCACTGTTGTCGAAATCCAGAAATCACCCGAATGAAACGGGGCGGGTCACTAGTATATTATATAACCGTTAATTTTTATTTACCTTAATTTTTGATTGGACTGATATTATTACCTATTAAATAAATGCTTTTTTTAGCGCTTTGCTATTATAATTGTAACTGATGTTTTTATTACATCAAATTTAATATCACAGGGGTGATAGATTCTCTTACGTTATCACCGTAAGGCGATGCGTTACTTATTTAATCTAAAACAAAACCAACTTCTACTTTTCCCTCATTATTAATAGCGTAATAGTATAGGTAGGAAAAGTTGGCCGCCCTGCTCTAGTACGAGTTAACAGGCATGAACATGACGCAGTACGTATGTACATACATGCCAGAAAGTTATTTTTTCTTTGTAATGCAGCTGTCCCTTCGACATAGTTTTTCTTCACTGCAAAGTATAAAGTTGAGTAGTGTTAAGCCCCGGATACACTAGGAGACATTTTGTCCCGCACCATGACGCGGAACACTCAGTCCACGTGACGATGCAAAGTTGCACAGTGATCCGCAACATTTTACGTGGGACATGTTGCTTGATGCTTGAGGGCACTTGTCCCGTGTCACGTCAGTGTCGTGCCATTTTTTATCGGGTGCAGTTGTGTGCGCAACTTGCCTGGCAACATGTCAGTAGTGTGGCGTTTCCCCACCAAACCATGCTTTTACTTCTTGAGCTTTACGAGAATCATATTTTATTATGGGATACTTTAAACCACAAACTTCTGGTACTATTCTGCCGATCAGTTGTTTCGACACTCGAAAAGTGTACGACAAGGAAGCAAGCCTAATTGATATGCAATTACACGCTCCTGGCGCGCGCGCCATGAATGACCGCGGCGACCAGTGCGTTCTACGGAACGCGTTCCAAATGTTCGAAGTGTATCAACTAAGCGCTCCTGGCGCCCGCGGCAGCCGTTCCAGTGTTTAATCGTTCAAAATGTATGTCGGTCGTGTACGAACAGCTGCCGTTTTCATAGTTCCATCCATGCATCTTCTCCGAGCGCTTTATTATGATAAAAACGACTTTTGCTATTCCACAGCAGTTACTTTGAAACATATAATTTTATCAATTTACGGCAACTCTGGTTATCCATAGCTCGAAACGGAACGAACACACGAATGATGAAAACAACCGTCCCAACTGGCGCGCGCGCCAACATTTAACTACTTTGATACCACGCTCTCTCAGAATACCAGCGTAAAATAGCAGCTTAACACTGCTGTGTTTCGTATGGTGAATGTAGAGAACGGGAGATCCTTTTTACTGAAAACGAGGCATTCCATCTTAGTCCTCACTGGTGACGACGCATCTGCATTTTGATTTATAATAGAGGATAGATGTAGATGTCTATGGGCCACAGCAACCACTTACCATCAGGTGGACTTTGTGGTCGTTTGTCACCCTTATTCTATAAAAAAAGACATTCGGAGATCACATAAAATATTAATTCTTCTCGTTGTCACCTTCTCCTTCGCTTACGTTTCACTCCTGAAATGAGTACTATGTAAGCAGCATTAACCGCCACAGCCTCCTCGGGTGACATTTCTATAATAAACACTTGACTAGTGTGGCATGTAAAATGTTCCGCAACATATGTTTCTGGAAATTCCACGTAGTTGTTGAGCGACAAGTTGCGCAACATACCGCTCCTTTTGGCCCCGATTATATCCAAGGCTTTAAATATGTAGGTAGTTATATATCAAACATGTCTATATTATCGAAACGTTTTATTAACTTTAAAACTTCTGGAGCTGTTATAATAAAGCGTAATTAAACATTACTCGGGCTAACTACAGCCTATAAAAGTCCACTGTTTGACATGCTTTCTCCATAGATTGCCTCATAGGCAGGATTTTGTCATAGTTGCCACGCTTGGTAGATGGGTTTCGCTGTTTTTTATCATTGTGAGTTGTTATAAGGGAGATGCTGCTGTCCATTTCTTGTTCCAGTATCACTCTGTCGGTCTTTTGAAGAAATTAAAAAGGAAAATTACATTTTAATGTAATCTAAATAGTTATATTAAAATCTTCATTCCTTGCTTTGCTAACCTTTGGGGGTGGAGTTTGTTCTCCAGTATATTCTATTTAATGAAAAAAGAAATGTCAAAATCGGTTCAGCATTGACGAAGATATCGCGTAACATATTATATATACAAAAAAAAACAAACAAAAAATAGTCTAATTTAAAAGGTCCTCCGTTTTTTGAAGTCGGCTAAAAAGTTCCAAAATTGTACCAAAATATAGATATTGTAAGGTGTTCTTATAAGTATGGAATAATGATTTTTAATATCAAACAGGTTTTCTTGAGCGATAATGGATGTGTGCTATGAGCAGGACTTGTAACAATACGTGTGCAATAAAATGTCAAAAATAAAAGAACAGCTTAAGTACGTCACATTCTTAGGAACAGTTTTTGGATCAGGGAAGAGTACGCCACGTTACCCCAATGCATATTGATGTATTTCATGTTTTCAAAACATTTTCTTAGGCGGACGGAGCTGCGGGGCGTGGTTTCGACTCCAGCATCATTTTAATTGTTACATGCTTGACATAATATTGAACCATGTGTAATTTATGTTTGTAAAATTCCTTCACTTAAATCAACAGATGAATCAGCACTTAAAATTGTGATTAACTATTTCAGTGGACCTCAAGCATCGTTGATTAAACTTGGGTTGCTTGCGTCCGATGAAATTTTAAGCAAACGTCTAGCCTCTGCCGTTCGACTGCCACGGATCATCAATAGGTTATGATACAAAGATATCATACACAATTTATTTTTTCCTTTTTTTTGCTAAAAGATTTTACCCGTGATTTAGCGACAAAAAGAAGCCTGCTGATCTGTAATAGTAGCCTTTGGGCTAGTAGTTCATTTATTGGAAAACCATACAGTTCTAGTTTGCTATTATCTGGAAAACTATATTATTATTATATACTATATGCGACATGGGTTAATGCCAATGCATAAAGTGAAATCATATATCAAATAATTTTACGTAAAAAAAAAACTAATGACCTTTAACTTTAACCCTACTCATAGCAAGCATGAGATTTGATCACAAACCGTTTAGCCATTACAAAGATTAGCCCGGACGGACAAACAAATAAAGTTTTTAAAAACGATTATTCATATTATGATTTAAATACCTAACCATTTTATATAAATAACCCCCCGAGCTTAATATAAGTCCGATATTTATAGATATTACAGACACACTTCACTTTAATTTATATGTAGGGTGGGCGTACCAGTCCCAAACCAGTTAAGGACACATATTCACTTCGAAATACTCTGAACTGGTATTATTTAATTTTAACATAGAAATGTATATACAAAGTTGTTTATTGATCACTAATGTTGCAATATAGATAAATTATTTGATTCCAAATATTTAAGTTTTTTATAGATTTCGTTAATTATACGAAAAACGGGAATGTGCCTAAGTTTGACCAGTGTGCTCCAATAAATGACCACTTTTGCGCCAATAGTTGACCACTGTAAAACTTATCAAGTAAAGGTAGCTAATTGAAAATAAAACACTATTTTGTTACACAAATTGACTTTCATATGATGACTGAAAGTTTACCTAGACTTACAACCAATTTTAATGGCACAGTCGAAGGTAACTAATTAGAAGACACTTGAAAATTAGAACATTAACGTTAACAACGCCTATTAGCAAACTACAATCGAAAAATAGCTTTGCATATAAATTATCAGTATCACCTATAACAGGTATTGAATTAAATAAATCAGGCGCATCATATTGAGGTAGGCGATTTTGACAAAAACTTATCTAGAAACCGTAAGATTACCAAAAGAACTAGAATGCTTTAGCTTATACTAGCTGTTCCCCGCGATTTCGCCCGCGTGGAACTTTTTGCGCGGAACCCTAAAATAAAAGTAGTCTAAGTTACTCATTATAACATCAGCTATCTGCCAGTGAAAATCCCATCCAAATAGGTTCACAGGTTTTTGGGTGATGCGTGTTCATGCCAAAATAGCTCGCAGACGACAGATTTTCTTCAGACCTACACATTTATTGTTATATTTTGGTCAATTTACACAATATTTTTATGAATTATAGCTTATATGTTATTCTAATGTATGAGCTATATTATTGTAATGTTACATTAAAATGCATTCAGTAGTTTTTGTGTGAAAGAGTAACAAACATCCATACATTCTCACAAACTTTCACATTTATAATATTCGTAGGATTCATTGCAAAAATAGTTATAGCACGAATGGGTTAGTTGGACCGAGGCAGGACCACGCTCTCACAGAAGACCAACGTAAAATAGCAGCTTAACGCTGCTGTGTTTCGTATGTGATTGTAGAGAACCGGAGACCCCTTTTACTGGAAACTAGGCATTCTATCTTAGTCCTCACGGGTGACAACGCATCTGCATTTTGATTCGTAATCGAGGATAGATGTAGATGTCTATGGGCCACAGCAACCACATACCATCAGTTGGACTCTGTGCTCGTTTGTCAACCTTATTCTATAAAATTCTTGTGGGAGTAGGGTATTTTCCTTTTCTTCTGGCTGTTGGATTGATAGTCCCGGTCCAAAATCAGTTAAAGATGTGCTCTCTTATTATTTGGTTAACTGTTTCCAATAAACAATCAGTTTTAGCGTTAGCGTTAATCCACCTAGACAATACAAACTCTTCTTGTAGGGTCAAGATAGTTGGTGGTCCCATTTTCCGTTGAGAATGTCTCATTTTCAGTTTGTTTATAACAGTCGGGTGAGGGATATGATATTTTCGACACTGTGCGATTTAGAAGATGTTTTCTTCCTCGCACGACCTCCTTGTGGAATCGATTACCATCAGCGATTTTTCCGGACCGATACGACTTAGGGACCTTCAAGAAAAGAGCGTACTCCTTTTTAAAAGGCCGGCAACGCATCTGCGATTCCCCTGGTATTGCAGTTGTTCATGGGCGGCGGTAGTCACTTACCATCAGGTGAGCCGCATGCTCGTTTGCCCCCTCTCCTATAAAAAAAAATCGCCTTATTTTATCGCCTTTATGAATTTCATCTAGATACTTAAGCAAATTTAGCTCTGTATATTTAAAAAAAATATTTTTGGGTCTATCTTTTTTTTTATAGGATAAGGGTGACAAACGAGCACACAGTCCACCTGATGGTAAGTGGTTGCGGCGGCCTATAGACATCTACATCTATCCTTTATTACAAATCAAAATGTAGATGCGTTTTAACCCGTGAGGACTAAGATGTAATGCCTTATTTCCAGTAAAAAGGGCCCCCGTCCACCTGCACTCACCAAGCGAAACGCAGAGGTAAACTTCTACTTCACGCTGGTTTTCAGTGAGGTCGTGGTACCACCCCGGTTCGAGCCGGCCCATCCGTGCGACAGCAAAAGCTGCCGCGTGGCTCTACCACTGTTCGAAACTTCAATCTTATCTTCAAATTATCTTCAATCTAAAACAACAAAACAAGTTAAAACTTTAATCTGGTTCCATAGGAACACTTTTTTACTACTGTGTACCAATAGCAAACCAGTGGTCAACAACTTGGGCACAATGCATAAAACGATTTTAATATACCTTTTTTTTTAATGATACATAAAACATATTACAAAAGTGCATAGTTACTATACAGCACCATTAAACCGCAAAACGGTTGGTATTGGTGCTTGCAGACGTCTATACGCATAAATATATTATTTTTAATAACTACCATCGTATAATTGATAAAGTTAAGCATGATAACAACTAACAACCTATTCATTGTATTAGTGACATGACGACAAACAGGTTTCGCTAGTTTACCGCGATGAGCGTGTACGGTATACTATACATATACAGGCTGATTTCTATAGCAATTTTTTTTTAATAATTATTTAATAAAATAATTTTATATATACCTATATATATATATATATATATATATATATATATATATATATATATATATATACATACACATACACACACACACACACACACATATATATATACATATATATACATATATATATATATACATATATACATACACATATATTTAATATCATTTGAGAATTTATTAAGGAAGACAATTCAGGTTTTCTAGTACATAATGCTTAATTTTATATTTTAATTTTTTTTTCTGTCAATTCGTCATTAAGGTTTTCTGGAAGATCGTTTAGAATAGAAGCTAATATATTATCAGTTCTCCTGTCTCCATAAAAGTTATTTGATATTTGCTACAGATTTTTTATTACTTTGTCGCGTTCTATCAGAAAATTTTACCATTTTTAATAACTGGCTTGAAGCTTTAAATTGTCAAACAAAAGCATCGCCATGAAAAAAAAGAATAAAAAAAGAAACACCATAAGCAATTAGTTGCAAACCAGTTGGTCAACAATAGGAACTCGGTACGAGGTGTGTTCCAGTAGTTAACCACCTTTAAAAATACTTGATAATGTCATTATTTAATAAAAATTACACCGATAACACTTAAATAAACACAAAACTTTTAAAATAATACAACTTGATGACAGTAATTAGGAAATAATAGGTAATATTCAAATATTGAACATATCATGTCGACGTGCAAGTCTAACTGTAATGGTGGCCGAAAGGTAGTAATCGAGACACTGGTCTGAGAAAAAGAGCTAGGTATCGATATTTTTCGTTTACTCTCGCAAAAAATTATGTTCGAAAGATTGGTTATAGTCTAGGCTACATAACAAAGCTATTGAATTCTTAAAAATGCCCGCCATTTCTTAATTTATTCAATTGAACATATGAGTGGTCAACCACTGGTATCTGGTTTGGGACTGGTACACCCACCCTAGTTTAATTTAAGTGTATATATTATGGAGTTTGTGTTGAACGTAAGTAATTTCAAGTTTTCAGAAATTCCTCGGTCGGAGTAAAAGGGGAACCTGCGAAACCAAACATACAAACTTCCGTACCTGGACCAAAATCACAACAACTTTTAGAAGAATTAAGTTCACTACAGGTCAGTATACACTGTTGTTGTTTTTTGTCTAGAGATAGTTAAAAAGTATTAACAATCTACATATATACGTCCCACTGTTAGGCAATAAATTAATATCGACTATAACTTCGGTTCCTTGGAGTAGTAAAATAATGTCAACGAATTAATTAGAAATAGGATTTATGTCACTTTTTTGATTCTCGCATACTCACCGTCAAAACCTACAGAGTACTTCCCGCTGACCTAGAATCATGAACTTTCAAAAGAATCAGTTTCACAATTCCATTAAGGGAAGAAATACAAAAACCGTAGTTTAAAAGTGTAGTTATACCACAAAAAATATTTTTAAAAGATTACAAACTTGCTTTTGCAGTTGGAGCATCGGACGCATTGTAGACCACCGATGACCGATGTATGAAAGAACATTTTTCCACTGCATAGTTAAATTTTTATTTCAATCTGACTTACCTTTTCGCTATAAAAATCAAATAGTGTACGGCACGTAAGCAACATTGAGTTACCAGTTACTATTACAGTCTATCCATCCAACAAGTTAACCACTGAACGAAGGCCTCCCTCATAGATCGCTTGATATTTGCCGTATATGCGACAACTGGCAGGTGGGAATAGACATCGAACGTGGCAAATTAAACTATAACTGCAAAATACCACCGGGCTATATATACCATGACATTGCTGAAAGTTTACAATGCGTTATGCAATATAGCTACGGTTAATCGACGGCTTTACAATTGCAGCTAGAAATTGCCACAAAACTAGTCTATGTTCGGTGCTTACCTTACCTATAATTCCCGGGATGGATGATTTATCTAAATTCATAATAAATTGTATAAGGAAACCTCAGGGCATGAAATCTACTCGTATTTTTTGGACTTTTGTAATATGTGTTCCTTATTGTTTTCTTTCTTTCTCCTAAATATTCTATAGATTACACGACGATATAAGTAAAGGAAACTGTCTTCTTTGTTTTTAAAAATCAATCATAAGCATGACCAAAACTTTTTGTAGTTAACACACATTAACACTAGGCTAATTCGGTTATCATTTTTTTGTTACGTGATAGCGCAGTGCTGCAGTTATATTACTGGTATAGTTGTAGCACGACTGGGTCGGCTCGACCGGGGAAGGACCACGCTCTCACAGAAGACCAACGTAAAATAGCAGCTTAACGCTGCTGTGTTTCGTATGGTGATTGTAGAGAACCGGAGACCCCTTTTACTGGAAGCTAGGCATTCTATCTTAGTCCTCACGGGTGACAACGCATCTGCATTTTGATTCGTAATCGAGTATAGATGTAGAAGTCTATGGGCCACAGCAACCACTTACCATCAGGTGGACTGTGTGTTCGTTTGTCACCCTTATCCTATAAAAAAAATCATGAAGCTGATCCTGATTTTAGGGCTGCCTAGAGATAGAGACTGGCAATGTGTGGCCCTAACTCGTCTTTATAATAAAAATTATCGTTGTCTTAGGAAACCACTATAACACCGAGGAGAGTCGCATATATTGAAGCTTCTAAGTTCGACTGATCCTTGGGATACATGCCAAAATAATTCGATTTTTTCATTCTTTAACTACGATGTTAGGCATGATTGTGTCTTATCTAGGTTGGTTTAAGAACAACCAGCTAGATATTTCGAAAAAGTCCCGTTAATTAAGCTAAAAGTTTGACCGTTTAGAATTTGTTTTGTGTTGCCAATAATATGCAAGTTATGGACACTCGTAACTTATTTTATCAATGGTATGAAAACAGTTTCAAACATAATCTATCTATACTTAATATAATAAAGCGGAAGAGTTTTTTTTTGTTTTTTTGTTTGTTTAAACGCGCTAATCTCTGGAACTACCAGTCCGATTTGAAAAATTCTTTTTGTACATTATAGCCTGATTCATGTGGAATAGTATAGGCTATCTAGAATTAAGCTATATCACTCAGCTAGCCTTAAATATAGATATTTGTTAAGCAAGTCAGTAGAAAAAGCACTCCTGAAATCATTTATCTGCGTACGCTGGTGTTATCGTTAGGGATACGTAAATACAATGTTCTAGAAAAATATAGATCTTTACTCCGTCTAAAAAAAAGTTCGCGATACCATATGTCTATTTCTTATACATAAGCCATAATTAGGTATTTTGTGACAAAAAATATTAAAAATTTAAAAGTGATTTATGAGCGTTATTTTAGGCATGGCCTATTTATCCTTACGAACGAAAGTTACTTCATCATCAAGACAATTTTATGACGATAAACTTTGTTCTTTATACCATGTTATTTGGACGCATAGTTTAAGAGATAATGTAAAATTAAAATAATTCAATACTCGGCTGGGCGCGCGAACGACAAATAAACCCTAGCCGCCCGGTAAGAACTGCGAGAACTGCTCAACCGGGAGGGGAGGGAAAGTGGATAAAACTTAACTTCGCTCTACATCATACATAATATGCCAACAGATAAAAGTACTCCATTAATTATGCCAATTTTTCCATCTATTGCTATCAAATAAAATATTTAATTGCAATTATAAAATGCTTGAACTAGGTCATGTCGTGCACCTCCGACACGTGATGACGCGGGTGAAACCGCGGGGCACAGCTAGTTCTTATATAAACTGAAGAGCAACAGTCAAAATATCTCTCAGAAAAAGATCTTTCAGTAAGTCCCTTTGTCTGATATTGTAAATTTTTTCTGTGGTATAAATATATGTTCAACATCAGCTACTGATCCCCACAGCAAAATTCATAGGACATTCCTATTTTGAAAATAAATAAACTACTATTGTTGTATATAGTTTGCACGCAGCCTTATTTTAACACGACAATACGATTCCGTCATTTTACTTTTATTTCCTTCAGTGACCGTTTGGGCCGCACGTTGCAAAGCCCTGCGCTAAAAGGATCTTTTTTATTTCATCATAGAAGATACTAAAATAAAAAAGACTTATTCCATACACGCCAAATATACATTTCTTTTCGATATACAGTAAAATATTTATTTTTGGTCTATGGCGCCACTAAAGCCCTATAGTAAACCCCTTAGTTATAGAAACTGGAAATAATAAAGTGCCTTTACAAGCCAATTTTTATACCTCGCTCTTAACTCTTCACCCCATAAATATATTGTTATGCTCACGAAGGAATCCTCCCGCTCGTTAAAGACTCAGGCCTTTCACACTCACAAACCATTGACGTATACACCGTGTTCGTCCGTGAACTTGACTTTAAAATTATACGTGAATTGAAATGTTTAACTTTGTACCTACGTCATAAGTCACACCAAAGTTATCACGTGCATGAGCAATACTTGCGGTGAATCCACAACGTTAATTTTAGTAAATTACTTAAAATCATTTTTTATTCTTTAATAAATCTTTCGTGTGTGTCTTTGCAAGAGTGAGGCGGTACTTCATGCCGGGAGAACTTATGACCCTATATGTAGTGCAAGTCCTTCCGTGCTTGGAGTCCTGCCGTACGTGCTGGTGCTGCAAAATGCCACCTATCAGGGTTGAATTCAGTGAAAAGACATAATAAGAGGCTTATTGGTAACACAGGCTTTGGTGAAAACAAAATACCAAAATAGTGCAACTAAATGTAGTTCATAGTAAGTACTTTGTAAGGCATTACAGTTTAAGATCAGAAACTGTTTTATCAATACTTCGTAGTATTAAAGCACCTATGTGTCGATAGTACATCCAAGTTTAAAAATATTGAAAATATGCGCCCGATTCATTTTCATCCAATTGAGCGTCATGGACGGCTGTCATTATTTTATTATCTTTAAATGGATGGCTGACCCAGTCAAGAATTATGTTCGGGGGTTAGTAATAGTTTTAAAGATTATATGAAGCAAAAATTAAAGCTTGTTTCAAATTCACATGACGTGTGACTGTAATTACGATTTATGTACTATCGTCCTATGAAAGTTAAGAAAGAATTTCATTTTAGTTTGAATGAGGTACCTGTTTTTATTTTTACATTTCAAAAAGACCTTCGATAAAGACGATCTTTAACCTCTATAAAGGTAACTAGAAAAAACTCATTTTATGAATTTTTCTCTTTTCACTTTTTATCATACTTATAGGGTATTAAGATCTGCTATGTCCGGTACATATATCCTTTGCGAATGCAGATACATATTGTCTTCTTGAATACTTAATTATATTTTTATTTTGGTACTTATCTTAATTTTTAATCACAGTACAAAAATGTTATACCTACGAGTAATAGCAAATGGCAGTAGGTAAAAATGGTCTTTATCGCTTTTGGCACATTGACATTGATAAAGTTATTTTAATATTATCATAATAGTGATTCAATACCTCATACTGATATCACGATTTATATAAAGTACTAAAATGTTCTTGACCTTTAGAAAGATAGAGCGTTGATGAAAGACTAGATATAATATTACTATTACTTGTACGTGATTAAATATGCTTATATTAATTATACTTTTATAATCATTTTGAGAGTTAAGAGATAAAAAATAGTTTGGAGATACATATGAAATTAAAAATAATAAGGACATAAGAATGAGATCAAGACATTTTTTTAAGTAAGACAAAACCATCAACTCATCAGTTGCATTTTAAAGAATATCATCATTACATCCTTCACAAGTCGACTGCTGAACACAAGCCTCCACCAAGGAATGCCACAAACCACAAAGCACGATTACTATACGAGGTCGTCACTCCATATAGTGGGGGGCCGCTACACACTTCACCTACCGGTACAAGGCTGCCACTCGAGAAGCTTTCTTGTAGAGTATAATCATTAAGAATATTATTATATCTACTTACTATAATAAAAATATAACACCGGGTTTTTCAAAATTATTATATATTTTTTTTAATTTTCAAAATTATTGTTAACATAACGCGGTCAGCAATGTTTAAACGGAAAAAGCCGTTGCTTGACTACTATCCCAGCTGATGATAGGTGGTGATAGTGGTTAAAAGAAAAGGAAAAATAGAAATAGGACGGAAATATTGGGGAAGGGT